GTGACTCTCTCACTATCCACCCCCCTCTTCCCGATAATTCATATATCTTCGCGCCCGTAAGAACGATGTGGTCGTGCTTTATTTCCTTCTCTCGTCCGAGCCATCGGTCTAGTCTTGGCCTGTGCGCCTTATTCTCAGGGACCTCGGGTACCGAGAAGAGAAAACTGAGGCATGGGGGGTTTGATAATTTCAATCCCAGTCAGCCCAAAGCCACCCCTTTTGTGGGATAGGATGAACCCGTGCAGACGACGGCCTCTCTCCTCTTCATCTGTCAGGATAGTCACGACGCCCCTGGAATCTCTTTCCAGCCCATGTACTCGTCTGAACTAGTATGAGTCGGTATTCGTCTGCTGCTGCTTTGGATAAGGCGTCGTCACACAGACGCTGCCCTCAAGCTTCTGCGGCCACATGTCATGTATACAATTCCGACTGTACCTATCTATCTAGTACCTATCTATCCAGTACCTATCTATCCAGTACCTATCTATCTAGTAGAAGACTCTATCCCTATTCAACCACCACTCGTAACTATCTATGACTATTTTGGTCTCTTTCTCCCCCAGTGCCTGCACTCCGCCTGTTCCATCTATCTGAGGGGTTCAATCTTCGTGAGCCGTGCCGCATCATGCCCTTCCCTGCCGGTGTTGGAGATGAGCTGTGCTGTCGTCTGGACGGCGGTAGTGTGCGGAGGGATGTCACGACAACACCGAGGATGACATCATCTGACGGAGGTGAGCTTATTTCAGACCACGCATCCCTTGGATGCCTCCAACTTGCCTGGCGCACCACCTTCAGGGTTGGATACGCCTAGACAAGCCTTACATCTTGTCCTCATACTGCGGTGCGCCCAAACCTCCTCGAGATCGATGCATTCGGACGCCCTGGTTTTGGCATCCTTGCACGTGACAATGTATGGATCGGATACGAATCGATGCTTGCACTTGTGCACCTCTTCGGTCAGGACCTTCCTGCACATGACGTCCAGTTTCGGTGATGGATAGGGATAGAGCTATAGATGGAAGCTGTCAGTCTCACTCCCTGCAGTCCACCTTCCAGATTTGGGACGAGCACATACCTGCTCCAGTCGTAGATCAACAGAAAGAAGGGGGGCGGGAGAAGGATGGGAAACGGCGTGGAAGAGGTTCCTGGGAGTGGTAGTGTACAGATCCAGTCATCTTTCCCAGGGAGTGTAAGCCACCTTTATATATCCAAAGCTATCAGTCGCGGGAAGCTTCATCGTAATCGGGATCCGACAAAGCCAGCTTGACACCGCTTTGAAAAAGCCTGAGGCGTCGAGTTTTCAAAGCAGTAACTCTGCAGAGAGAAGTACAGCATCACCGAGAGATTCTCGCCTGTGGCTGTATCTCCTTTCCTTCGACTGTCTTTGATCCTGCACAAGCCACTATGGCGTGAATTGTCGAGACCGGGATATGCTCGACCACCCCCCCCCCCCCCCGGGGGGATCACTTTCTTTTCCATCCATCTACGAATCGCCTGCTTCCTCACGGAACGACCTGTCTTTTTGTGTCCAGTTGTGTCCAGGGGTGGATGATTTCCTTCTTTCGTCGGGGGCGGTGTATTGATGATGTATCCGTGGTTATACGTGAATTCCTATGCAGTGTTTATCTTTTTCTTTTTCTTTTTGAAGATAAAAATTGAAAAACTCGAAAATAATATTAGGGTGTCATGGAATCCGTGAAATTATTGCGTCCGCACGCATGCAGACCATCATATCAGTCCTCACGTAGGGGGGGGGGGGTAGATGAACAAGTGAATAATGAGTAAACACACAAAGGGACACCCCTCCTCCACCACCCCCTGGCAGCGAGTTGAAGATGTGATATCGCGAAATGGCATGGCATGGAAGTGCTGAGATACCCGTTATGATCTACTAGTCTCAATGTGTCCCAATGTGCGATGCTGTACCGTCTATTGCTGCGAAAAATGACCGGTGCAGGCCGATGTCAGACGCCCTATGACCACCGCAGTCTACTAACCTCCTCTCCGGACAGTTCACACTGACTCCGTCAGGATAGACCTGGATGCGTGACTCTCGAGGCTGGCGGGTTAGCTATGGTTCTGTCTCCATGATGGACAGGTTCGTTGACGATGGGATGATAATAGTCAGCGACGGGGAGGACGTGACCACGGACGTTCGGAACGTCATCGGTGCGTTCGGGCCTGTAGCTTATGGTAGGAATAGTTGTCATGTATACACAGCTGATGGGGTCTTCATCTCAATAATGAGAATGTGTGCGAGTCTTGTGGCTAAGGTGTACAGATTATATGGTGTATATATGTAGGAATACGCCAGGGTCCAGACCTCTGACAGGTTTGCAGCAGGGTAGTTGATCCTGTGTTGCGCATGTACCCAGCAATAATACTACATCACGAGGCCGTAGAAAGAGTAGCGGTTAGAAGTCTTCATGCATTGATATTGATTGCTGTGCCTCACCTCTGCCTGCGTCTACTTGAGTACCCAAAGGACATGCTTTGAATGCAAGGAAAAGGGGTGGCGTTTTCTTTCCTTTTCTTTTCTTTTCCGGAACTCTTCGTCCAGCCCACTTTCGACCTCAACTGCGTCTCAAATTGCATCTTCCAAGTACCTGTTCTCATTGGGGGGCCCAGACGGTGGGAAAGGCTGACACAATGCAGGTCCAATGCACGCGCGAACCGAAAGGGATAAGATGAACATTTGGTCGACAGATTGTAGGCGCGCGCGTCAGAATGTACAGAATGTACAGAATACAAGAGTACCTGCAAGAGAGAAGTGGCAAATGAAACGTCTACATCAACGGGGGACATATGGCGAGACAACAAGTGACATGTAGCCGGCACAAATTTTTTTTTTTTTTTTTTGTTGGGGGGGGGGGGGGGGGGGGGGGGGAATTCACTCGGTCCAGGTGCACCATCGTGTGAGGTGCGACCGAACTATTGACCTACCCAGTGGTAACGTCAGAGAAGATTGAGGAAGATGTACGGCTGCCCTTCTCTCGGGGTCTGAAACATGCTCCCGTGATTTGCCGGTATTGATGATATCAACCATGGACATGCTGAACTCGAAAGCATCTCGGGACTCGAGGGCAGAAAACATGGCCGCGCTGCATACCCGGCCTTGTAGGAAGACCGGTGGTCCCCAACAGTACATGACTGTCCTTCGGGGCCTTCCAGAAAGCGTGCATCCACCCTCCCAAGGCATTCTTCGATGACGGATAGAGCTTCACGCGCCTCTCTGCGCCCAAAGCTCTGCGCCCCATGATGGGCAGACCGTACCATTTCTAATGGTGGCCAACACGAGCCTTGACGTTTAGACCACGACGCCCGTTAGCCGTTAGGGCGTTTCGTGTTTCATCCGACGTAGTATCATTTCCATTTTGTGTTGTTTCCTCTTCTTTCTTTTCTTTTTCTCCCGTCGTCAATCCGTACGGATACTGCAGCAGCGTACAGATACTATAGTTAGTCCTGATACTTCATGAAACTTCCCTCAACGAGCTGGGATCTACCCCCTTTTAAAAGGGTTGCTCGCAGTCTTTTGTGATCCCTGCAATCCCCGAAACCTAGAGCTTTCACGCTGCGAGTTGGGGCTGTTGGCTGTTGGCTGTTGGCTGTTGGCTGTTGGCTGTTGGCTGTTGGCTGTCGATTCTTGATCCTTGGATGTCAGCTGCAGATTGATAGGAGGGATGGGGGCAGAAAATGAAACGATGTAGGGGATTCCTTCCATCTCATCCTTTTATCTACTTTGCCCTCCCCCCTGATTCACCCGTCCACCTTGTTTTCTCGCAAAGGGGGCTTGGCTCTATCCAAATCTCCCCTCGTACGTGCTGCAGATCACGAGATTGTAAAGCCTCGCAGTCGACGTAGATGACTCTAACGTAAACACCTGTGTTAGAGCCCTCGAGACCTTTCATGGTCCAACCAGCGCTCTCCAAGCCCTCGTATACTGTCTCGAGAAGGAGGCGCTATTAGGGGTCTATAGCTATGGCTTCGGGAGGGGTGGTGTTAAAGAATTAGGCATCGAACTCGGGATTTCTTCTTCGAGAAGATAGGAGTGCTCGACATTAGTGTGGCGGGGCGGCCCGTCATGCGACCTTCACGTGTACCCCACATTTTCCATCTTGATCATCAGGGACTCGCTTACAACACGCGCTACATGCGATCATTTGCGATCACTTGCGATCACCACAGAACGCGATCATTGCATGCGACAATGATCACCTAGTATATAGCCAACCTCATTTCCATAGCCTAGTCACTCTCTACCCAGCTATCAATACAATAGTCAACGCTTCTATTGGAACCAGTTCCCCAAGAACAAGCACCTGCGACTGTGACTGCCTTATTGCTCAGTTAGACGCCCTGACGGCCTCGCCAACATAAAACCGACACTTCTCCGACTACCCTGCAGCACAGAGTCGTACCAACCGTCACGCGGGGTCGCCGGTCGGCCCTACCGCCGGTCGGGCTGTCTATTCTGGTTTGTAGGTCATCTCCCGTACGGATTAGTATTACGACCTAGCAGTCACCATCCTTCCACGGTTTCAAGGCCAAGGGGAGAAGCCTTGGAGGAGGAAGGAAGGCTCGTGTAAGAAAAAAAAGAGAAGAGAAGTAGGGAAACCTGGTCCATCCATCATTCATTCAATCGGGACAGCAAATGCCGTTCTGTAGGTTGCCGCCGGTCCTTGGTGACGTTGGTTTTAACGCAGATGTCAGAATAAGCTAGAGTCACGTCGGTGATGTATGGCTTGAAGATGTGAAACACTGTTTCTCACCTTCTTGCCTTCTTTCCTTCCTTCCCGGTCCGCGAATCCATCCAGACATCGAGAGCGAAGATTCTAACATTGAACATAAGCACGTCACTCTCGGGTGGAATCTGTAGAGTTTCTTCTGAGTTCCACTCTTCCTCGTCGCGTCACGGCCTGGAACCCATCAACATATGTACAGATACAACACCCGGTGCCACCAAGCTACAGAGACGCCTCGCACACTATAGGCCCCGATTTCTACTCGGGAATCTGGTGGTCCTCCTTCTCCGTCCCGGCAGCCCAGTGGTACTTGGCTGCGACATGGTCCGCGGGCGGGTATGCGCGACCGGGCGTTGTGTAGAAGTTCTCGCGATAGGTGCCCTTGGGAACGGCGTAGTCATCCCAGAATAGACCGCGAGCACGCAGCTCAGGAATCAAGAGCTCGACGATATCCTCAAACGAGGACGGGAAGAGAACATATCCCTACGTTCAAAGATGAAACGTCAGCATTATAATCAGCAGTCTATATATATGCTTAATATATGCTTGGGGTTTGTAAGACATGTTCGGGAATGGATCAAAAAAAGTGTTTTTTTTTTTTTTGGGGGGGGGGGGGGGGGGGGAGGAGGGAGGGAGGTAGGGAGGGGGCACCATACAAAGTTGAAGCCGTCAACGTCGGCCTCGCGGACCCAGGTCTCGAGGCTGTCAGCCACCTGCGACGGTGTCCCGACGAATAGAGGGCCGTTTCCGCCCAGGCTGACATGCTCGGCGACGGTGTGCTTGGTCCACTTTGAGTTGGCCGGGGAGAAGCGCGCGTAGCCCTGGACGGTGGATCGGACAGCGTTGCTCTCCACCTCGCGCAGCTCCTCCTCGTCGCCGTACTCGTCGAGGTCCCAGCCGGTCCAACCGCCGAACAGGGTGAGGGCACCCTCCGTCGAGGCGTACTGCCTGTAGTCTTCGTACTTGGCACGGGCCTCCTCCTCGGTGCGGCCGAGGATGGGAGTGACGAGTGCGAGAACCTTGAGGGACTTGGGGTCTCTGCCAAAGTCTTCCTTGGCCGACTGCCGGATCTCGGACACGTTCTTGGCGCACACCTCCGGGGCGTGAGCGGAGGTGAAGATGGCCTCGGCGTGCTGCGCGGCGAAGGCCTTGCCGGCCTTGGAGCCGCCGGCCTGGAGGAGGAGCGGGGTGCGCTGAGGGCTGGGGTGGACGATGTGAGGTCCGGGGACTTCAAAGTACTTTCCCTTGTGGTCGATCTGGCGGACGAGGTCGGGAGATGCGTAGATCCCCTTGGCGCGGTCAAGCTTGACGGCGTCATCTCTCCAGGAGGATTGGAGGAGCTTGTAGATGACCTTCATGTACTCCTCAGCCACGGCGTAACGCTCATCGTGCTGGTGTGGCGTGTCAGCGATCGAAGCTCGAGTTTCTGGACGTGATGATCCTAGGGTAGGCTGCACTTACCGAGAGCTGCTCCGTCCGGCCGAGGTTCCTGGCAGCAGAGTCAAGATAGCTTGTCACGATCTGCAAAGGTCTCAGTATCTCTACTGATGAGGCGGAGAATGGAAGAGGTGGATGGGGAGAGAGATAGAAGGAGAAGAGGAAAACAGGTCGAATGGTCATGTACGTACGTTCCAGCCAACTCTGTACAGGTAAGGATGTAAGCAAGTACACGAGGAGAGTCGATCGAGCGCGGCAAGTGTGAGCGCTTACCTTCCCTTGGTGAGATGGTCGACAGTAGAGAGGCGACGGGCCAGGTGGTAAGGCTGCTCGTAAGTGGTCGAGACCGTCACGCCGAAGCCGATGCTCTCAGTGGCTGCAGCCATGGCCGGCACCACCGAGAGCGGCTCGGTCACGGGCCACTGAACACCGTCGATGATGGCGGTGTCGAGGGACTTCTTGTAGACATCGTATCCGCCTGAGGTCAGGATGAGAGTCTCTGGTCAGAACAATGGCATCCGACGTGGGCGCGCTGAGGGGTTTTCATGCGGCATCATCAATATCGCCAGCTTCACCTACCAAGGACGTCGGCAATGAAGATGCCGTGGAACTTGGCCTTCTCGAGGTACTTTGCCAGGTTCACCCAATGCTCAGTACTGTCAAACTGCCAAGACTTGTCATCGGGATGCCGCCATAGCCCAGGGGACTGATGTCCGCTGGCTGTTACGCAGGTTAACAACGTTGCAATCAATCACGCCTGATCCGTGACTGAAGGAGAAGGGGGGGGGGGAGGGCACAGCCAGTCCAGTCTCGACGGGGACACGTACTCATCATGACAAAGGCATTTAGGATGAGACTCTTCTTCTGCTCTGCAGAGGTAGAGCCGCCGCTGCTGTTGTCCGCCATGGTCTCGTCTGGGTATCGGCTATAGTGGTGTGGTGGTAATTCCGTGCTCTGTATTGGCGTTCGATTGCCCGACGAGTTGGGAGACAGGGGAGGTAGCACGAGATAATGTATCAATGTGTCGACAAGCATCCTGCCCCTCCCCCTCACTCATGCCCTCCTCCTCTCACGAGTAATATGGTACCGGGGGCTGGTGGGGCCTGACAATGACGTGCTTATACGCACAATGATCGAGCCCCGACTGCGAATAGTCGGGACGCTGATTGGAAATCATATACGAGCACGGAGCCGTGGCTAGCCAGATTAGAAGGGACCAATGATGAGACAAGGTTGACTGTAGGAACGGTGAGCCATTGCTACAGCCGCCGCAAGTGCCGTAGGAGCGCGTCCTGCCTGCGAAGCCTGCTTGTTGAACGACCGTCTCCGGCCTGCTCTGTGAGGGAAGCCTGTCAGAGGGCCGACGATTGCACTGCTGGTGATTGGCTATGCTTTCGATGCAGGTTCGATACAATACGGTCTTCCTTGGGTTTCGTCGTCAAGTATGGGAAGACTCGAGAGTCCCGAATGAGGCCGTCGTAGAAGAAAAAGACTCCAGCCACCACGGCCAAGTCACTGGCGGTATCATCGGTAGAGAGAATGACCAGGAACCTGTACAGATACTGTTCTTTCTAGAAAAAGGTTCGATCCGTACAAGTCGAAATCGCTGCAAGGACGGGGACAGCAGCCTCGATCTTGATAGCAGCGGCACACCACGACAGTTGGCATATCTGCGATGCACGGTACAGACCCCAGGTACATACGAGAGTATTCAATATGCGGCAAGCGGTTATGATCATCACACCCACCCACCAACACCACGATTGCCTATTATAGCAGTCGTAACGGCTCATGGCCGACCATCCGTCTTGCTACGTGATTCTATTCTTGACAGTCTGTAGATGTGTCCCGTTGCACTGCTAAACACTTCCCATGGTCTACAGAAGCCTGCTGCTCTCTCTTCCCCTCACTTCGGAAATAAAAGTAAATTCAAGGGAAAACGATGGACCCCATCTTAGTCCCCCTTTTCTCGATAGTATCAGTCGAGCGTGTCAGCTTCTCCGCACGCCTATTGAATGACGCTCTTCCCAGGGTCCCATCCGCATCCGCCATTGCGTGATCCAGGTCGAGATTACGTTCTCGTGAAGCTCCGATGTTCGCCTAGTCCGACTAGAGTACGTGTACTATTATTCCCCTCTTGACTGCGTCTGTCTTTATCTAATCGGGACCGGAGGTTTTTGTCATTGGACGTGGTGTAAAATTTATCGCAGGGTTGGGCTGGCTGTTGATACCGTAATATTCCAAGATTTAAAAGCTCCCTCCCGGCTGGGGACTGCATGACTGTGCCGACTATTTGGTGCATCCGTCACAACGACCACAACCAGCTCGACGGCCTCTCTCTATCGATCACATCAAATCTCCAAGATGGGATCTATCCAGTCTGTCGAGGGCCAGCACGCAGCGCCTACGTCGCAAAATGTCCTTCTATTACATCAACCGAAGCAGAAATACAGCTTGACAGCCGACTACGCAGTCCCTCAACTTCGCAAGGGCCATGGAGAAGTCCTCATCAAGGTCAGGGCAATCGGCTTGAACCCAATTGACTGGAAATCACCGTCGGTTTTAACCCCCCCCAACCCCCCCC